TGCAGCTATACTGACGTGCCCAGGGGCTGCTGGACGGGCCTGATTCTGAGCCCTGACTCTCATGTTGGGTCCACTGGCCCAGCAGGTCATGGTAGCACAGTGCACAAGCAGACACAAGGCCAGTGGCATCAGCAGGGCAGGCACGGGGAGCGGGAGGGTGGACAGTTAGAAAGGGAAAAAAGGGTTCTCGCTCCCCACAACGCCCTGGAGGGTTAACATGAAGCTGATACTCGGTTCCTCCAGACAGCTCCTCCCCACACAAGTAACAGATGGAGGTGTGGCTTGCGGTTGTTGTGGCAGTCTGAGAAGGGGTCGACAGGGGTCCTCTGGGCTGGGATACCAAGACTCCTCCCCTTCCCATGGCCAGGTGGTATCTCTCAAGGAACGTGGTGATGGAAGTAATGAGCTCCTCGCTTAGACAGAGGCAGTACTCTGCCCAGATCCCTTCCAAGATGCTGTGACATGCGACACAGCAGTATACCCTTCCATTCCGCATACTCTGTGCATTTGGAGGGCATGGTAGCAGATTTATGAATGGAAAATACATTGCACTGTGGGCTTTACTTGCGCCAGCATGGGTGTATGCCATCCTGACCTCTCGACAGCAGTCCTGTCCACATAGGTAGCAGGCCTCCCTGCGATTCTGTGGCATGGAGGGGAGTGAATGGATTTTTGGTAGTCCATCCCCACATTCATTCATGGCAGGTGGAGAAAGAGGGGTTGCAGCACCCGTGCTGAGAGGCACCACATAGAGTCGCTGGAGAACAGGAACATCTGCAATCTCGAACCCTTGCCACTGCTGCATGAGGGAGGAGTGGCAAGTTGTGCATACCAGAGTGTATCCACCCAGGCTAAGAGGCACCGCACCAGGTGGAGGGCTATGGAGCCACAGAAAAGGGAAGAATGGTTCACTGGCTCTCTCCTGCTTTTGTACAAACACCCTGAAGCGGCCTCCTGCTGAAAGCCTGCTTCCACAAATATAACAGGCACATTCATTAGCAGAAAAACTGGAGTGGCATTTGGCTGCTTGACTCCTCTCTACATCTAAGTGAGCTGATGCTGCGCGCTCTCTCTCGTCATCGCTGGTGATGTTGATATCGCTGCTGTCAGGCCCGTCCGAATCACCGGTGGACGCATGCATCCACTGCTTGTC